GATAGATGGCTGGATAGACCGATAGCTTGAAACGACGCGACTTGCCACGCAGTGTACACCGCAATGTTGGATACTGGCGTAAACTCGGTGGCTAGCAATTTTGGCACGTAGGACGTAAAAATATGCTCTAGAATTGGGGCATCATTTCACGCTATGCAACCGTTTCGATTGCCATTTATAAAGGCGCCTTGATATCGGCACATGCGGTGGCACCTGGTCGCTGGCGTCGGCGGCCTCCTCGTCTATTCTCTGCTCTGGTGCCAACAACTAAACTCGCTGCTCGGTACGATCCAGGACAAGGCCGTGCACCACGTCTCGGCCGCTGCGCACTACGCCCGGTACCAGCTGTACCCGTCGCTCGAGCAAGTGCTCCCGTACGCCGAAAGCTTCCTCTTTCCGACCGTCGTCGCACGGCACGGCACTCGGTACTCGTGCATCAAGTTTCAGTACACGGGCATGGGTAGTTGTCCGAGCCAAATCAACGATCTCGTGAGCTACGTGTACACGCCCAACAAGACGGAAGCCTGCGATACCGTGATCCAAACGGGTATCTACGGTGTTCCGGGCTACTGCGAGCTGCGCGATGACGCAACCAATGAAACGATCCGCACCATGTACACGAGCTGCGGGACGCTCACGGGCCGGCAGTTTTCATGCGCGCTCGCCGCCCAGTACGCATCGTACGGCCACGACGCATCGACGTTCTTCTACGCCCTCAACACGAGCTACGTCGCGTCCCGAGGAATCGTGTTTTCCGTGCACCCGAGCGCGCTTGCGTCGGCGTACGCCAGCATTGCGCACCTTCGGGCACTCAACTGCTCGTTGCCCATCGAGGTGTGGCACCGACCGGACGAGCTTCCGCGAGACAATGCCATTTTGCAAGCGCTGCACACGACGTTGCATGTGCAGGTCCGTCCGATCTTTCATCCGTTGGCGACGCGCTTTTACTCCAAGATCTATGCTGTGCTCCACAGTGCATTTGAAAGTGTTTTGCTCCTCGACTGTGACAACTTTGCTATCCACGACCCCGCGTACCTCTTCTCCACGCCCGCCTTTCAATCGAATGGCGCGATATTTTGGCCCGTAGACTCTCTTTTGGTCTACTTGAATGTACGAAGCGGTTGTGTAGGACTACTGGCGGCCCGGCCACACGTGCTTCAACATTGATGGCTACAGTCAGCTTTGGGACCTCCTGGGCATCAACTTTGTCGATATGTTTGAGCAAGAGAGCGGCCAAGTGCTCCTCAACAAGACCATGGCCGAGCCGGCGCTGCACGTGCTGGCCTTCTTTGCCCTGTACGAACCTCGGTACGCTAATGCGATAGTTCAATAGTGTTCAATGTGTATTTTCTGGATGGATGAATGTTGATGAATATGTCACTGCGCTAGGTTTCTCACCAACTTTGGCATGGTGTACGGCGACAAGGACCTCTTCCGGCTCGCGTGGCTGAAGGCCAATGTGCCGTTTCACATGATTGGTCGCCCGCCGGGCAGCCTCGGTAAACTGGACCGCGTCGACCGTAGCTTTTGCGGCAGCACTATGGTCCAGCACGACCCGAGCGGCGACGTGATCTTCCTGCACCGAAATACAGTCAAGTTGTCGGGCTGTCGCGCCGACGCGTTCGTGTGGGAGACCCTCCAAGACTTTCGATTTGGGTGCACCATCCTTTGATGTATATGGTTGCATCCAATGCTGAGCTAGCGACGTGCACCTGGCACGGTATCTCCCCGCCGGCTACGTGCTCCGCGACGCCACGTGCTTTGGCGTCCGCGAGCCGTCGAGCGATTTATATACGATGACAACGATCCGTCAGTCGCCGTTTGCCCATCTCGAAGGTACCTTGTACCGGTTTGCCCGCGAAGCCATGAAGCTCCAACACCCCAACGGTACGAGTGGCCATGAGCAATGTCCATCACGCGTCGGTACTCTAGGCTGTCCGGCCGACAATGCGAACGAGGACCACGTGCAGTTTCCACTCGACCTGCGCGGCAAGCGCATTCCTAGCATGCATTTCTATCGACACAAGAGTCCCTACGCGGCCGAGGCGCCGTAGTCTACGAACCGTTTGGTGGCTCGCATGTGGAGAACCTCATTATTGCCAACGACGCCGGTTCTTTGGGACGAGGCGCTCGGGCATATGGCTAGCAAGGCCACAAGTACGACCCAACTCTACGATTTCCAACGGGAGCACCGTATTTCACGCTTCGGTAACGATGAAGAACTAGTCCTTTTGCTACTCTTTTGGTACTTGGTGTTATACTCCGAGAGAGCGCGGGACTCTGCGACGCCTGCGCTCCCGCAAGTGTCGTTGGCTGTCATCTGAGACCGTGGTCGTGTTAGACTGGATATTTGTATGGACATACAATCTTTCCTATCCGCATCGCGCCGTTGATTGGTGCACGCTGAAACCGTGGACCAATCATCGCCGGCAACAGCGTGAATACAAAACACAAGTTGCTTTTGGACCAATCGCATTGCAGGCCGGTCGGCCTTTCTCCCAGAACGCTCTCATTTCAGCTGGCAGCATGGGCAACGTGCTTGGCTGGTCCCACAAGACGCTCGATGAGCGCGTCTGGGACGCTGCCCGCGCCGGGGACGTCGCGACCTTGACCGCCTTGGCGCCAACGCATAGCAACATTGAGTTTCGCGACCTTCGCGCTGGCCGAACGCCATTCACGATTGCGTGTGCGCATGGCCACGTCGCCGCCGCGCAGTGGCTCCACGCCGCCGGCGCCGACGAGTACGCGCGCGACTACGACGGCAACACGCCGCTGCACCACGCCTGCCGCACGGGCCAGGCGCGGGTGGTGCAGTACCTTCTGTCGCTGCCCGAGTTTTCGCCGTATGTCCTCAACGCCAAAGGCGACGCACCGCTCGAGGTTGCCCGGCGTACGTTTCAGGAGCGCGAAGGCGACAACGACGATCTGCGTCTCATGGCACTCGCGCGTTGCATCGAGCTGCTCGAGCAGGTAGTCGTCGATGCGACAAAGAAGGTCCTTGTCTTAATTGGCACCATACACACGTCTAGCGCTGCTCCGTGTACAGTGGCTGGGTGTTTCAGCGCGTCGAGACGTTCTTGTCGCAGCTCACTGGCATTTCAGCGCTTCAAGCCTGGACGCGACGGTACGCTGCCACGTCATATGAAACGCTCGTCCATAGGTTTTTGGTGTAGCTATTGCATTGTGCTGCGGACAAGCTCGTCTATGTTTCTCGAAGTCGCGCTCTTTGCAGTGCCCGACGCCGCGCGCCGCCCACCGGTCCCAAGCGCATCGCTGCTCGTGCATGTGACGGCGGACGAGCCGTGCATCCGCCCGAACAACCCCTCGTTTTGGTCGGACTTGAACCCCAAACCCTTTGGGTTTGACCTCCGCGGCGCGCAGAAAGTCGGGTCGAGCCGCACCCAAGCGCTGTGTCACTTTTCTTTTGCGGCGCTGAGCGAAGACGGCGCGGCCAAGTGGCTTCGCTTCTTTGCCCACGACGCGGTGCGTGCCTTCTCCAATGTGATAGTTCTCACGCCGCGGCTAGCGGGACTGCCTCCAAGACGCGCTGGTCTCGCCGACGCGCCAGTTCAATTCACACGTACGCACGTCCTTGGCATTGTAATCGTACCTGTAAAGATGATGCGTAGGAGCTCGGACGGGCCAAGGTCTACCCAGAGCCATCGGCGCCCCCGCTGCCCTCGGTCGAGATTGCGCAACCTGTTGTTTTTACAAAAGCGACGCTGCGCCCGCGCGTGCTCGAGTGCGTGGTGTGCTTTGACGGCCCGCAAGCCGCCGTCTGTGTGCCCTGCGGCCACAACGTGCTCTGCATGCGCTGTGCCATGTCGTTGCTCGAGACGACGCACGTGTGCCCCGTGTGTCGTCTCGAGATTCGCGAAGTCGTCAAGGTCTATCGCAACTAGTTGTCTTCTAATTTAACTCGTCGTTGCCGACCTCGAACCTTTGATCCTTGGGTCGAGTCGTGCTCGGGTCATCGCTATATCACCAAGTAAGGATACCTCTCGGGCTCTCTGTACGCAGCTCACTCCGAACGATCAAGTGCTGGTGCGAACTCCCATGCACTCAGGCGTAGCGCTACGCATGCAAAGTCGTGTAATAACAAAATATACGCGGACTCTGACGTCATTGTCGCTGGGTCCATTTGGCCCTTGCGGTTGCTGCAATGTTCTGTCGACAACAACAAGAAAGGTTTAGCCGTACCACGAGGTGAAGCGAGATCAAAGCTAATGCAATATGGAGAATGCGCAGATTGAACATTATATAGACTATACAATTCGATATATGGACAACGTGTCTTCTCGCACGCGACGTGTCTACTTGATGACGAC